TGGTACATGGAAAGAACTTACAGATAATGTAAATATAATGGCGGCTAATTTAACTACCCAAGGTAAATCTTTGTAATTTTGTAATTTTATATTAACGTAATTCAATTTGTGCTAAAAATCTCTCTAATATTTCTCAAAGTCCGATCAATCGCTGAAGTTACGACTGCAGTAGCAAAAGGAGATCTGAGCAAAAAGATTATTGTAGATGTAAAAGGCGAAATTCTTGATTTGAAAAATACTGTCAATTCCATGGTAGATCAACTACGTATGTTTGCAGCCGAAGTAACTCGTGTTGCACGTGAAGTCGGTACAGAAGGAATTCTAGGTGGTCATGCGCAAGTTAAGGACGTTGGTGGAACATGGAAAGAACTAACAGATAATGTTAATACGATGGCGAATAACTTAACAGCTCAAGGTATTAATTATTTTATTTTATTTTACTTTATTTTTTATTATTAATTCATTTTTATCATATAAATCGTAATTTATAACTTAACCATTTATAAAATATAGTGCGTGATATTGCCAATGTATCAAAAGCTGTTGCTCGTGGAGATCTTAGTAAAAAAATTACCGTAGATGTCAAAGGAGAAATATGGGATCTTAAAAATACCATAAATACTATGGTAGATCAACTACAGACTTTCGCAACGGAGGTAACACGTGTGTCGCTAGAAGTCGGAACAGAAGGAAAGTTAGGAGGACAAGCTGTTGTAAGGGGTGTTGAAGGAACTTGGAAAGTCTTAACTGACAATGTGAATATAATGGCAGCTAATCTCACGACCCAAGGTGATTATTTTGTGAAAAGTTGGTTATTTGCACTTTAAAAGATTTAATATTTAACCGTTAATAAATTAATCTTTTATGTTTAATTTTTTTAGTCCGGTCTATTGCCGAGGTAACAACAGCCGTTGCGTGCGGTGATCTAAGTAAAAAGATAACCGTAGATGTTAAAGGAGAAATACTAGAACTTAAAAATACAGTTAATTCTATGGTAGATCAATTACGTATGTTCGCGGCCGAAGTAACACGTGTTGCTCGTGAAGTCGGTACTGAGGGAATCCTAGGTGTTCAAGCGCATGTTAAAGACGTTGGTGGTACATGGAAGGAACTGACGGACAACGTGAACACCATGGCATCTAATTTAACAGCTCAAGGTAATTTGTGAATATATAATATTTTACATAATATTTTATATAAATACATAATCATTTTTAAAAAAATTTTTTAAGTGCGTGATATCGCTACTGTATGTAAAAGCGTAGCTTGCGGTGATCTTAGCAAGAAGATTACTGTCGACGTAAAAGGTGAGATTTTAGACTTGAAAAATACCATAAATACGATGGTGGATCAGCTATCTACTTTTGCTGCCGAAGTCACCCGCGTAGCTCGTGAAGTAGGTACCGAGGGTAAACTCGGTGTTCAAGCTAAAGTAAAAGATGTTCGGGGAACATGGAAAGAAATTACATCAAACGTTAATACTATGGCTGCGAACCTGACGTCTCAGGTAAAATTTTAATGTTTTTCTTTTTTCAAAATAATTTTTTATATTTAATCTTTTTATATGTAAAAAATTTTTTTTTCATTAGGTGCGTGCTTTTGCTCAAATTTCATCAGCGGCTACAGATGGAGATTTCACGCAATTTATTACAGTTGATGCATCGGGTGAAATGGATTCCCTTAAGACTAAAATAAATCAAATGGTTTATAGTCTCAGAGAGAGTATAAAAAAGAATACCGCTGCAAGAGAAGCGGCAGAATTAGCGAACAGAAGTAAAAGTGAATTTTTGGCAAATATGTCGCATGAGGTAACTTTTTTAAAAAATAATTAACGATGCTTTAATATCTCTAAAGTAAATTGTATTTTTTCTAAGTAAATTAATCTTCGTTTGTGTAGATACGAACTCCAATGAACGGTATTATAGGGATGACCACATTGACACTTGAAACTGAATTGACACGGCAACAACGTGAAAATTTGATGATTGTCAGTTCTTTGGCTAATTCTTTGTTGACAATTATTGATGATATATTGGATATTTCTAAAATTGAGGCAGGACGAATGATTATTGAACAAATTCCCTTTTCACTTCGTTCTGCTGTATTTGGCGTTCTCAAGACTCTAGCTGTTAAAGCTAACCAAAGAAAACTAGATCTTATATATAATGTAGATAATGGAATACCAGATCAGCTTATTGGTGATCCTTTACGCCTTAGGCAAGTTATTACAAATCTTATTGGAAATGCCATCAAGTTTACTACTGAAGGGGAAGTCGTACTATCTGTGAACACCAGATCACTTGAAAATGATCAGGCGACTTTGGAATTCTGTGTTAGTGATACTGGCATCGGAATTCGGGAAGATAAGATTGATATGATATTTGACACATTTTGCCAAGCTGATGGGTCAACAACAAGAAAATACGGGGGTACAGGATTAGGATTATCCATATCTAAACGACTTGTATCATTAATGGGGGGTGATTTATGGGTAAAAAGTGTTTATGGTCATGGATCAGAATTCTATTTTACAGTTGTGGTGAACCTTGGTACGATGAACAAAGAACATGTTTGTCAAAAAATGGCGCCTTGGTATGGTCGACATATATTATATGTCGATACATTGCACGATAAAACTGGTGTAGTTGATATTGTAACCGAATTAGGACTTCGTCCAAAGGTAGCCAGATCAGTTGAAGAAACAGCAATTATCACCGCATCTCGTAAATCAGATTCTCCCTTGTTTGACACTGTAATTGTTGACGATTTATGTATCGTTGAAAGATTACGAGAGATCGCACATCTTAGATATATCCCTATTGTATTATTAGCTCCAATGATTCCAAACTTAAATATGAAGAACTGCATTGATCTTGGTATTACTTCATACAGTAGTACACCAACAAGTATGACTGATTTAATGAATGCCTTATTACCGGCGCTCGAATCATATGCCTCAGTACCAAGCGATTTTGCAGGACAACAACCGTTGGAAATTTTAATGGCTGAGGACAATATTGTAAATCAAAGATTGGCTGTAAGGATATTAGAAAAATTCGGACATAAAGTTGAAATAGTGTCAAATGGTAAATTAGCTGTTGAACAATTCAAATGTAAACGTTACGATCTGGTAGGTTTATTTTATTTTATTTTTTTTTAATAATTCGCAATATTCAATGTTACTAAAAAAAAATGATTGTCTAGATTTTGATGGATGTACAAATGCCGATAATGGGTGGTTTTGAAGCCACACAAAAAATACGTGAATACGAACAAGATAAAGGAGGCCATGTGCCTATTATAGCATTAACAGCTCACGCAATGATAGGTGATCGGGACAAATGCCTCTCGGCTGGAATGGACGAATACGTTACAAAACCGTTAAGTAAGTAACTTTCTTTTTTTTTATTTTTGATTTAATCTAAATATATTTAGAATGCTTATTATATTTTCTTTTTACATAGGGATGAATGACTTAATTGCCACTATAAACAAATTTCCCGTAAAAAACCCAATTGAAGAAATACAAATTGCTGATCAACGCAATCTACCCCATGTGTAAATTTACGAACTACTTAATCGTTCAATTGGACTCTAATTTTTTTTACTATTTTTATATATATTTAATTGATTTTTTATTTTTAAACCAACGGATTTTGATGGACTTTTTTTTCTTATTTTTTAAACAAAAACTGTTTTATTCAAATATTGTTTCGTAAATTATTCGCTTATATATATATATACATATATATATATAATTGTATATTAATGTTATTTATAGTGCTTAAATTTTTAACTTACATCTTTGATTAAAACTATATGTATTTATGTATAAGTAAATGATTTTTTTTTAATAATGTACAATGTTTTTACTGAAGGTTAAAAATATCTTGCCGGCAGGACTTAAAGAATAAATATTTTAAATTTATTTTAATGTATTTCTCTATATTTTTTTTTTCTCGTGATTTGAATATAACCATTGTGATAATTTTGTCGAACAGAACCCTATTATTTATTACGCCATCTCTGCATAAATGAGTGGAAGAAGATCACACCCTCATCTGCCGCTCTGCCGCATATAAATCCTGCATTATTCTTTGTTCATGCGTGTATTGTTACATAACAGTTCACATATATAGAGTCAACACAGTTGCATCCTGTTTTATTAACAATCAGCCAAGGATTTCCGAACCTAGTCTTGTTCGACTCAGGATTATCATTTCCCAAATTAAATCTTCATCGCTCGTCAGAAGTTACAGTGACTAAGTCAAATCTTGAAAATTCTATTAAAAGATAATAAATAAATTAATCATTTAAAATATATAGTATATATATATGTATATCGATATATATTATATATATATTTTTTTTATAACAATTGCTTAAATATATAAATATATACAGTATGTATATATATTTTATAAAAAATATCAAATAAAAAAAAAGAAAGTTACTTACTTAACGGTTTTGTAACGTATTCGTCCA